CCCCCCCCCAGACCTCTCTCACCCCTCCCCCCACCCCCCAATAGGCCTCACACCCCCAGGCCTCCCCTTTCCCGCCCCCACCTCGCAGAAGAACTCGTTGCCTCGCAGGCCGCAGAACCACGAGATCCACGACACCTCCTCGGAGCTGCTCATGGCGCCGGGACCCCCCCGCGGGCCGCCCCGTCCGGCAGCGCCCGCCCGCCCTTCTTCTTCTCCTCCTCCTCCTCTTCCTCCCGTCCGCCGCTCCGCTCCTCGGGGCCCTCAGCGCCGCGCGCGGGGCACGACGGGAAGCTCCGTCACGACGCCGCGCGCGGGGGCCGACGGGAAGCGTAGTCCGTCCGCCAATCACAGCGCGCCGCGCCCTTGCGGCGCAGAACTACGACTCCCAGAGCGCACCGCGCGGCGCGGCGCGCAGAGCCCGGCGGGAGGTGGAGCCAGGAGGGCGCAACGCGCATGCACCTCTTCCGTCCCGTTTTCCGGTGGGAAAACCGCGCGTGCGCAGATGCGGAGAGGGCCGCGCGATGCGACAAAGCGCATGCGCAAAGGGGGCCGGCGCATGCGCGAAGCGGGCAGGCGCATGCGCGAAGCGGGGCCGGCGCATGCGCAGTGCGGCGTTGCCATGGCAATGGCGGCCTAGCCCGTGCCTCGGAGCCCTGCTCCCTTTCCGCCATGTCGCGTCTGATCGCCTTCCGCCGGGCCCGCGACCCCGAATGCGGGTGGAAGGACGGGCTGAAGGCCGAGCCGCCCCCGGAGCCGAACCCGGAGCCGAACCCGGAGCTTTCGGCCGGCGAGGAGGCGCGCAGTTTCTACGAGAGCCTGCTGCGGGAGGAGATGCCCGCCTTGCGGCCTGCGACGCCATCGGCGCCGGCGCCGCCGCCCAAACGCCGCCGGGCGGCGCCGTTCGTCCCCGCGGACCGGGAGCGGCACGGGCACGCCATGCTGAAGGCGGCGCAGGACGGAGACGTGGCGGCGCTGAGGAGGATGCTGGAGAGAGAGGGAGGAGACGTCCGCTTCAAAGATGGCTTCCAATGGAGCGCGCTGATGTGCGCGGCCCGCGCCGGGCGGCTGAGGGCCGTCAGGTATCTGCTGGAACGCGGGGCTGACGGCAGGAGGAAGGCCGAGAAATTGGCCAGGGCTGCCGGGCATTGGGGGGTGGCCGCGCTCATCAGGGCGTGGGGGGGCAAAATGGCCGCCGAGGGGGAGGGGGGGGAGGGGGCGGAGGTGGGAGCCAAGGAGGGCAAGATGGCGGCTGGAGACAAGATGGCGGGCAAGATGGAGGATGGAGACAAGATGGCGGAGAGGGGCAAGATGGCGGGCAAGATGACAGAGGGGGGCAAGATGGTAGGCAAGATGGCGGATGGAGACAAGATGGCGGAGGGGGGCAAGATGATGGAGGGGGAAAAGGTGGCGAAGGAGGGCAAGATGGCTGCCGAGGGCAAGATGGTGGATGGAGGCAAGATGGCCACCAAGGAGAGCAAGATGGCCAAGGGGGGGAAGATGGCCAAGGGGGGGAAGATGGCCAAGGGGGGGAAGATGGTGGAGGGGGGGAAGATGGTGGAGGGGGGGAAGATGGCGGAGGGGGACAAGATGGCCGAGAAGGAGGGCAAGATGGTGGAGGGGGACAAAATGGCAGCCAAGGAGGGCAAGATGGCAGAGGGGGGCAAGATGGCAGCCAGGGACAAAATGGTGGATAGGGGCAAGTTGGCTACCAACGGCAAGAGGGCGGAGGGAGACAAGATGGCGGGTGGAGACAAGATGGTGGCCAAAAGGAAGATGGCGTCCGAGGAGGGCAAGATGGCAGAGGGGGGCAAGATGGCGGCCATGGGCATGATGGCTGGAGACATAAACAAGATGGTGGCCGAGGAGGGTGACATGGCGGATGGGGACAAGGGAGCAGCCAAGGAGAGCAAGATGGCTGCTAAGAGCAAGGTAGCAATTGGGGACAAGATGGTGGCCAAGGAGGGTGTGATGGCTGCCCAGGAGGGCAAGATGGCAGCAGAAGGGGAGATCGTGATGGCGGCCATGGAGGACTGCAAGATGGCGGCCCATGAGGACAAGATGGCGGCCATGGAGGACTACAAGATGGCGGCCATGGAGGACTACAAGATGGCGGCCCATGAGGACAAGATGGCGGACATGGAGGACTACAAGATGGCGGCCATGGAGGACTGCAAGATGGCGGCCATGGAGGACTGCAAGATGGCGGCCCATGAGGACAAGATGGCAGCCATGGAGGACAGCAAGATGGCGGCCCATAAGGACAAGATGGCGGCCATGGAGGACTGCAAGATGGCGGCCCATAAGGACAAGATGGCGCCCATGGAGGACTGCAAGATGGTGGCCCATGAGGACAAGATGGCAGCCATGGAGGACTGCAAGATGGCGGCCCATGAGGACAAGATGGCAGCCATGGAGGACTACAAGATGGCGGCCATGGAGGACTACAAGATGGCGGCCCATGAGGACAAGATGGCAGCCATGGAGGACTACAAGATGGCAGCCATGGAGGACTGCAAGATGGCGGCCCATGAGGACTGCAAGATGGCGGCCAGCGGTGTGAAGGTGGGGACGCGAGAGGGCACCAAGATGGCGGCCGGGCAGGAGGTCAAGATGGCGGCTGAGGAGGACGTCAAGCTGGCGGAGGAGGAGACCAAGATGGCGGCCCAGTGAGTCCCTTCCCCCCCCCCTCCGCCCCCCCCCCCCATTTCCCCGATGATGTCACACCATTGGCCCGACCTGGTGACGTCATCGCCCTGTGCTCCAATCAGATGACGTCACTGTTTATTGCCCCGCCCCCCCTCGTGACGTCATCAACCTGCGCCCACCCCCAATCGGTCTTCATTTACTCCCCTTTTTATTTGCCTCATATTCATTTACCCCCCATTAATTTAC